ACATTGCGGATAGTTAAAATACCACCAGGGGTGGGGGGGGGGGGTTGACGAAGCCCATCGCTGTTGGACTTGCCCCCGTCATGCGAATGTGGTGTGTCCACGTGTTTGGCCAGGATGCTGCTGTAATGCGGGCGTAAACGGCCTCGCGGATATGACGTCACGGGGGGAGGAGTTAGGTCACTTGGGAGAGAGGGATCAAGTCTTAAGGGGGAGAAACCGGAAGAGAAGGGACACAGTTGGGGACAGAGATAGGGTGAGGCCACGCAGGGCGGAGGTTGGAGGGTGGCGAGATCGCCACACACACACACGGGAGACTCGGCACCGTCGGCCAGCAGTGACCGAGCAGGGAGGAACGGGGAGCCGGGTGAGGCTGCAGTGAGGGCAGCCGGAGGCCTGCACGAGGAGATCAGCAGCGGAGCTGCGTCAGAGTGGAGTGAGAGGCTACGGGAGCGACGGCAGCACAGCGGCTGCCAAGCGGGGGAGTCTCTGAGAGGGAGCCGTGTGGGACAAGTGTAAGAACCCGAATAAAGGACAACGAAGACAGACACAGTGATCGAGTCCTTTATTACACTGCCACCAGGGGTGATGTAATGGTTAGCCTTACTGTAATGGTCAGCTCACTAGAAACCACAGGTTTGAATTCTATCTCCCGGTGCGGCAGGCAGTTTAAAGAATTGTACGTTTATGACCCCCCCCCCCCCCTGTCCGCACCTTGGTTCACCCGGCAGTATAAACGGGTACCGCCACAGTGTGGTGGGGTAAAGTGTGGGTACCTCCACCTTTTCCAACACGTCTGGCCCAGTGTGGAAGAGTAAGCCAAGTATACCGTCTAGAGGGGCTCTCTGCAGAGCTCCCTCTATTGGAAGGTTCTTCTGCCAGCACTTGCTTGGGTAAGCAATTGCAGGGCTGCACCTTTCTCTTTACCCTGCACGGAAGTTGAGCCAAAGCTAAATATCCCCCGTATAACCAAACAGACTGTTGGAGCAAGTTCCCCAGCACTTATAGAGGCCAGAGCGGCACACGAGGGGATGGGTGGCCAACACCACGCCCTAAAGGCCTTTGCCTCCCCATTGGCAAAGTTTACACACCACACCAGGTACAGCCCTCATTTGAGGCCGAGTCAACCGAGAGGAGACCCAGGACCAGTTCAGATAATCGTCATTGGTGTTAGCCGTCGGCGGGAATCGAACTCGGGTCTCCGGGCTCGTAGCGAAGCGTGCTAACCGCTACACACACACTCCACTCTCACGCTTCCCACTCCTTTGAACATTGAGACCACGAACCGGACGAGTTCCCCCTACAAGGCTGGCTTTTCTTGGCTTGGGGTCTGCAATGAACCCATCTCGATGTATACCAAGCACCCCCCGCCCCCCAACCCATGTCTGTTTACCCACAAAGGCCTCCACCCCCGGAGTCGAGAGACACGGTCGTTTGCAGTTGCGTTTCACTGTGGGATATTTGGCCATTTCCTTATTTGTGTGTGCATAACGTTCAGACCTTTGTCAATCCACTGCTGGACGAAGGCCCTTCTCCCTATGACGTGTCGGTACCAAGGGTTGGTTTGACCATACTTCACCACGCAGATTATCACTCAATTGATGTTTGCGATGCCCGGGAATGAAAGCCGGCCCCGCCACGATCATGGTCATGCTGTCCGAGTCGGCAGCAGAGAGAGCCAACACCTGGAGAGTCAGCTTGCCCGGCTGAAGTCACGCTCCAAGGAGGCACGCAGATAACGGGCTGTGTAGGTGGGTGAGTAGCGCGGGTTGGCGCCAGCCTCGCTCGCCAAACTCGTCGGTCCGCCGGGCACGTGCTGACAATGCCGCCGCTGCTGCTGCTGTCTCGAGCCAAAGGTGGAGCTGTCATTTCGCCAGAGGGCCCCGCGCAGAGCAAAGTGGGCGCGGGGCGGTCACCCATGATCTTGTGTTTTGATTTAGTGTGCGGATCTTTAAAGGTGCATTGACAAATGTTGATACTCCTATTGATGCTCCTGCTGTTGTGGAGTGACTTATGCAGCTAGCTTTGGCTACAGGGTTTTGGTGGTACATGTTGTTAATGTCGTTTATTGTTAAATTTCGGTCACAGTTCCTATGATCACTGTTGCATTGCTTTTATGGCTTTATTTTGGTGATTTCGAAAAGTTTTTTTGGTTTGGCCATGTTTGTGTTGTTGTAGTACGGAGTTAGAATGATGGCTTTAAACAAAGTTGTCGTGTGGTTGTTGTTGTTGTTTGACTTGCATCCCACTGGGATTTTTGCACACAGCGTTGGTGTACGGTGCTTTTTCTGGAAGATTTTTTAGCAGTTTTTTCCTGGATTTTTCTGTTTGCGCATATTCACTTTAAGATGTTTTCTTGTTCATGTTTTTGTTTGTTGCGGTTGCACCCGATTCAAGAGCCGAATGGCTCACAGGGCTATACCAAATAAATGAAACTGAAAACTGATTTCGCTAAGGCAGGGGGCGTCGTCAACCAAAATAACAACAGAAATGTTTTTCTCAGATTCGGTCAAAAAAAAAGCCTTTAATATTTCAAGGGCCGCAACACACTGTGGTGAATACGAGACGGCGAGTTCTTCATAAGTAACGTCACGCAGCCAGTCATTTAAGGGGCCGTCCATAAATGACGTCACGCACCTAGGGGGGTCAGACATTTGTGACGATGTGTGACGAGGATGGGGGGGGGGGGATTTGAAAAATATGACGTCACATCAAAATGCGCAACTTTAAATAAATATAGACAACACGTTCTACTTAATTAAATAGACTTTTTAATAAATGATTTCTCCTACAACATCAGAGTGCAGCGCCACATTAAATACGCACTACAATGACAATAGTGTAAAGCGATTTGAAGCATGTTTAATTTTCAAAATGGAAATGTTTTTTTTTTGGGGGGGGGCAGAGCTTTGTGACGTCATTTTTGAGGGGGGGGGGGGTCTGACTTTTTGTGACGCCGTGTGACGAAGCGGGGAGGGGGGTCAAAAATCGTCCAAAATCGCGTGACGTCATTTATGGACGGCCCCTAAAGACACGCGTGCGGATCCCGGAGCTGGACGTTGCCGACCAATGGCACTAACCACTGCACCACTTCACGGGACCTCCTTTGCCAGTACCAAAATATGAGAATAGGTTTTCCCCTGTAGCCGACCTCCCCAGTGCTGCCGCGGGGTCCACCTTCTGCCCCGCCTCCTGCCTCCCCCCCTTTTCTCTTCCCCCCCCTACTGACGAGGCCTATATAACCTCATGCCACGGCAGATCTCTCGCCTACTTTAGCAGTTTTTTTTCTTGCTGTGGTTGTCCCACCTGATGACGATTGCTTGTGTTGCGATCGAAACGTCGTGATCGGTTATTTTTCTACCTACGTGACTTTACCGGAAGAACCAAAGCGGAACAAAACAGCTGTGTTAAGATGTTAAAACACAAAACTGAAACCTTTTAGAAGGAATCATGTCTGCAGTAACCACAATACTTGTGGTCAGAATGCAAACAAAAAACGCTCTAATAATATTTGCATTGTCTTTGAAACTGATTGTTCCACACCAGAGACAGCTTTCTTTTGAGCCTCGTCTCAAACAGTGTTAAACCAAACGGTGTTAGACCGCCTTTTGGCGTCCTCTGGTCTAACACCGTTTTGAGACTCGGCTCAAAAGAAAGCTGTCTCTGGTGTGGACCAATCAGTTTCAAAGACAATGCATATATTATCAGAGTATGTTGTTTGTTTGCATTCTGACCACAAGCATTGTGGTTAATGCAGACATGATTCCTTGTAAAAGGTTTCATTTTGGTGTTTTAACATCTTAACACAACTGTTTTGTTGCCAGAAAAAAAGGGGAAAACCTATTCTCACTGCACCACTGCTCCCTGTCCCAGAAGCCCTAGTGCCCGTTGGAGCCACGCATTCGGAGGAAGAACACTCACCGACTGTTCAGTAGTCTATTCGCTTTTACCTATTTATACAATGACAGTGTCCTATAACGTGTGCAGTTTTCACGACAAATTGGATACAACGCGATGATGAATGTATTAGGGATTTTTTTTATATCGAGCAAAAGGAACTATGTCGCGCGAGTAGGAATAAGCGGTTAAATCTCGACTTAAAGCTTTCGACACTGCTGGGATTCATATTCTTGGGTCTTTCGGTAAAGTCACGTAGATGGGTGCAAAGAAAATAACAACAACCTACGACGTTTCGATCGCAACACAAGAATAGGAATAAGCGGTTGTATGTCTGCCTCGGCATAGCATCACGCAAGGCGGGATCCTGCTGGATGCTTCTAGATGCTACCCACGCGCCTCAGTCTTTGTTCAGCCTGCGTACGCATCTCACGGCATTATCGCGGACTGTGCCTTTACCCTATGTTACATATTATTCATTGCAACGCAATTTTTCTACAACGCGGTGTTCTTCAGGAACGAAACTGCTGCCGCGTTAGAGGAGAACAGACTGTACCTTGTGCTGCCCGACAGGTGGGCGTCTCATGCAGGCTCCATCTCAACGTGACCCACCAACCCCGGCCAGATTACAGGTGTGCCACGATGTCTGGCCGCCTGAGTCTCTTGAGTGGCGATGTTTACACAAACTGGCCAGACAATTGCTCTTTTGTTATTTCGGTAAAGTCACGTAGGTATAAAAAATGCAATAAATTTAATCACAATTGCTGAAGTGGGCAGCTTGCTGTGGTTGTCCCACCTGATGACGGACGCTTGTGTTGCGCCCGAAACGTCGTAATTAAGTTTACATTTAGTTTATTTTTTATACCTACGTGACTTTACCGAAAGAACCAAAGAGTTAGGATCCCTGCAGTTACGCAAACTTCAAATCTAGCTTGCCAGACACTTATTTAAGGCTGAGCCTATCTAGGGGAAGTCCGGACCGGATTTGGATAGCACATGCGACTAAAAATGGTTTCGTGGCCTGTCACATTATTTGAATCACTGGGCTCAAAAATCACGGTAGCACCACTCCGAATCAAAGGAACACTCGCACGCACACACCAGAGCACATTTGCTTGACTTTATTTTGTGAAATTACATTTCGTAAAACGTATAAAATATATATTATTTGTATTATAATCAATTATACAGAACACAATATTAATATAACACGTAAATGATTTGTAACTTTTGTACTGTATGAAAAACAAGAATCCTTTATGTGTTTAATATGCATTGTTAGGCTGCGAGCAAGGGTCGTCAAAAGCACACGTGGATTCTCAGGACTTAGACGCAGTCGCACGCACGGCTCGGCAAAGAACGCACATGGGCAACATCCGCACGCACGCAGGCACGCACGCACACCTCCACACCACGCCACGAGGGCAACACGAGCTCACAAAACACGGGACGGCACCATTTGTACAAACAGCTCTTTCGTCCATAATATAGGTTTTTTTTTGGGTCAGATCGCGTTATTTATAAATGTGTCGTAACCCTCCACCACCCGACACGGCCAATCAGTAAAAAATGTGTCACGTTTTCAAAGGACAAAATAATTCACTTCTTTAGCCTACCGGTGTGCTGAAGAGAGATTCAACAGCATTTTTAAATTTGAGTAGTGCGACGTTTCGCTGATAATTACAATCAGCTTCATCGGGCAAGAATGGTGAAGCTCTCCTGTTGCTTCCGGTCTTAAATAGAGCAGTATCAGGGTGACGTCATCATTTAATTCAATTCAATCTCTCTTTCGTGAAAAACATTTCAAAAACACAAAAAGACCGAGATCCTCATGTGTCGAGATCCGTATCGGCTGTTTGACTTATACCGAGTTTCCATGAGCCACACGAACTCGCGTTTGAACTCGAAATTGTCATCCCCGCCAACCCCTTCCCATATTATTTCGCCAACTCGAGTGGCCCATGGTGGTTAGGGCTACGGCTTGGGATTCTCTGGGACGGATTTGGCTTTCGTGGGGGGATCACCCAAATCCCCCTACTGCCAGAATACAGGCTCTGCAGAAATGTAAGAACCGAAACGCGTTGTTCCAATAAAAAACAGATTGCAGGTGGTGGGAACATTTTGACGTTACATTAAAATGTTGTCATCACCGTGCTCGACTCGTGTATGTCAGGATGGAATTGTATGCGTTTTATTTTTCTGGAAAAAAACGGCCCAACTCTACGCAATAACTCAAGTAACTCAGCAGACAATGGGAGATAACTATATTTTAGCCGACCAGAGTTGTCCTTCAACCAGATATGCCCTTCAACACAACTGGAGTTCTGGAAGAAATGAGACTAACTCTCATGGAAACAAGGTACGTATTAGAAATTCGTTGGCCAGGTACTGTTAGTGATCATCTTTTAAAGGGTCAGTAGCATGAAACGCTCCGCTACCTTTTCCCATTGCCAATGAGTGGACCACACCATTACGCCTGGTACAAATGTTTAGGCCAAACGAACTACATCCCCAAGGACGTACTCGGCAGGATCGGACCACCAGCCACAACGCACGTGCATCGCAGTCAGGAATCGAAACCGGATCATCAGGATCGTAGCGCAGTGCGCGAACCACCGCAACAACAAAAAATACTACGCTGTTGCTTGTACATGTGGTTAAGTCTTTTGTGACTAGACTTTTTGGCAAGATGAAACCAGGGCCCTTGTGAGTTTTAGTGTTGCACACACACACAATACAAGAAAAATCGTTACATCTCTCATTTGGATATAAAATATAAATCGCATTAAATAACAGACATCAGACAATAAAAATACAATTCGCAGGCTCTCAAAACAAGTTTCAACAGTTCCCGAGAACCCAGTTGCTTTTTTCCGACCAAAGATTAAGAAAGACTTCACATTGTAAACATACGCAGTATATGGTACGAGGAAGTGCTATATAGATGAAAGTATAACATCGGGTTAGTTATTCATGTACATGCAGTTTCATAAACAAACAAAAAAAACCTGCAGCCGCACGCGCGAGCTCGAGTTTTCTTTTAATATAAAATAAACCTTCACTTCATCGTTGGGAGTCTGGGCCGTGTGTGTCAAGGGGGGGGCGTGGGGGGGGGTCTCCTTCGACTCGGGGGGGGGGGGAAAGAGGGCACAGAGGGCCCCCTCACCAGATGTCGCAAACGGGTTTTGATTCATTACCCGTACCCGACCGCACCAGGGTCGCAAACGGGTACCCGTACCCGGTCGTACCCGTACCCGGCCGGGTACGGGTAGGGTATCGGGTACCTGATTGCGACCTCTGGAATGAAGCCATGTTGCAGGCGCGGGTGGGTTGATTCTAGGAACTTGAATTGTGAGAAGAGACAAGACGTTGGGAAATGAATGACAAACGGTTACTCACCAGTGACTCACGGCCTACCCGTAGCCGTATCCGGCCGCACCAGGGTCGCAAACGGGTACGGCCGGATACGGGTAGCCGGGTATCGGGTAGGGTACGGGTATCGGGTACCCGGTTGTGACCTCTGCCCTTCGCTACCTCAATCCGCAACCCCGAACGCGAGTTGGCACTCGCCGCACTCAAACCACAACGCGGCGGCGGACTTGACAAGAGCGACAGCGGACGTGGTGACTCTCAGCGCCGATTACAGGGCCAAGCGAATCGCTCCGCCGTTTTTACGGAGTTTTTTGGTGTTGTGTGTTGTTGTGTTGTCAGCGGTTGCGGAGAAACGTGGTTCATTTTGCGAGCGTGGTTTTTTTTATTTACACGCTTTTTATTAACTCACTCCGTCTGTTGTTGTTGTCATATCCTTAAATCTTGTAACTCAATTTTAACCCACTTCCCAATGTGGTATCAACTGCAAACTTGGTATACTTATGTCATACTGATGACAATACTATATTCTTTCATAAAAAAAACATATTTTTAAACATATTTTTTATATGTTATGTTTCGGCTTGGGTCTAATTGTCCACGCTCAACTGACGTTGGCTTACGTTATGGCAAGCCTCGGGGCCACTTCCTGGAGTCGTGGAGTTCTTCCATTATTAGTACGGTACATTTCATTAAAGCGTGTTTAAAAAAACTGTCTTTTTAATATTACTTATTTTTGTCGTGGCCGAGGCAGCGTGCTTGTTTGGAGAGGGTACCGTCTCCAATAGAAATAATAAGGCGACGTTTTCACAATTGTCCCGTCTTCATAGCAGATGAATTGACAGGGCCAGATAGACAGTGGAGAATAAGAGTTGGACACTGCACTTAATGTCATGGGGGTCCCATGAGAATTATATAAAAATGCGTTCTGATGATCAGGTTATTCAATTGGCAGAATCTGGTTAAACCAGCAGTATTTGTTGACCGAGGCGAACTGATGTTTGAGAGGCGATCAATTAGATAAGTTTTGTTGGGTAGGTATAAAAAGGAAGAACAATTTTTTATTTCGTGATGACAATTGTCAGGCGATGACAGTAATGTGACATGGACTTCCTACGGCATCCTTCCTGTAGCAACTGTGACCTGACAAGCGTTATGTAGTAACGTAACTGTACTTGGCAGTTCTCGCCATCATTGATGCATGCAGTCCCGATGACTCTGGCGACGAGACACTGCGTATCGGAACCAGTCCAGAGGTTGCTTGCATTGAATCAATACTGCTGAAATGATGCACTTCCCACAAGGCCGTCTGCCCGATGGGTTGTGTAAAATTAACTGCTATTTTTTTAATTTGGAGAGACAGAAATATGAAAGGAGGCATTATGTCTGTTCAGGCTCTCGCCTGTCCAGGCTGGTGGCGTGCAATAGGAATTGAGCTCTGGCTCCGCGCTTACGAGTTCTGGATGGAAATTGTTTATTATTATTCTTGTTGTCATTCTGATAAAACGAGCTTTTTTTGCCCGTCCAAGGACGGGGTTATTCGAAAGTAAATCTGAAATATTCAATCGAAAAATTGTTCAGATCATGATTATTAATTGCCCCATGTGGAGTGACGTCACCCGCTAATGGTTATTGGGGAGGGGTGCGGCATGTGGAGTGACGTCAAGCTCGACCTTTCTCTGCGTTAGTGTAAAAATGCACCCACTCATGAATATTAATGAGGGGGAGTGGGAATCCGGAGTCACGTCACGCAGAGGGGTGGGCCTCATGAGGAGTGACGTCACGCGCGGGACGGACAGACATTTCTGGGTGATTATAGTAGGTAATGGTTCTGAACCCAAGAGGGAAGATGGAACCGTGTTGTCCATTGACCAGGATTTGAACCCTCACACATGCGGCTACAGCCATCGGAACACAGCAATACTTAGACGAGACCCACCCCGTGGCAATCACTCAACATGTTGAGACATTGTGGAGATGTTTTATTTTGGCGAGGACAGCCGACTCGCGCTGTGTGCATCCAGGAGTGGAAAGCAGTCTCCCAAACTCGAATTCATAATTAGTTTACGTTTGTTCAGATCGTCGTGTAGTGTATGACGCCAATTTTCTTACAATTATAACCCCCCCGCCCCCATCTGACAGAGCCAATTGAATAAAGTTTTCACGTGGGCAAAACCGTAATGTTGACAAGCAAGCACAACTTCATTGAAAACGAATTTCTTTCGAACGGCTTTTTCTGTATTTTGTTTGTTGTCCTTCCCCCGCACCCCCGATTCGCATGGTTGACTACGTACGGTGCGAAAGAAGTTCAACAGATACACAACTTGGCGACTTTGCCCCGATGTTTCGCTGGAGATTACAACCAGCATCACCTGGACTTGAATAAAAAGCTCCGTTCGAACGGCAGAGCTACTGCTATCGTTAAACAATTGTTACAGTTAAAAATATGGCCGTTTTACGTACGCGATCGAACCCAATAGAAATGATGTCCCATCGGTCATGGAAGCCTACGCCCCGAATTCTCCCCCTCCCCGAACTCCACGGACATTCGAGTGGACGGCTCGCTTTGCCAACATCTGCCACGAACGACGCATACGGAGGCCATGTGGGGGCCCATTAATATAGTGGGACCATGCATGAGTTGGCGTACTACGTATCGACTAATATATCCTTATCCTTTATAAGAGCAATATTTACAACAAAAAAACACACACATACTTCCTATACATTCGTCCATGCTATACAATGTGGATATATAACTTGATATGCGAAATACTGTAACGCATAACTTCACAGCCCGACCGAGAAAAAAATGTTCACCTACGGCGAAATAACGCAAGCGGAGCTGAAGGTACAATCGTTCATTTTTTTTTAAATCCCACAAATCCTTTCCAATTGTAGTGACGCGGGAGAAGAGCGTTCGCCTCTCTCGTGGCCGATAATGGCGCTGCCCCCATCCCAAGGAGCATGGCAGTGGCGCGTTTAAAAAGAGGGTCTCGCGATTATTACACGCTGCATGGCTGGCGGCTTTTAATTACGGACAGTGATATTTTACAAAAATGTCGACTCGGTAGCAATCTCATTCTGAAGTCAACGATTGTCATAAAAAATAAACAGCTTCGACTGGCCAACTCTATTCATAGAAACACACCCAACTATCGGGACCTATATTGGGGCACAGGGAAACACTTGTCACAGAAGAGGGCCAAGTTTCATTTAAAACGTAGAAACACGCGGCAGTGGAAAGGGACGTCGAGATGCATGGCAGGACATAAGAACGTGTCAGGACAAATGGACAGATTTCAGGACACGAGGTTCGATGTCAAACAACACGTCAGGGCTAAACGCAACAATGTTTGCAGTGATTCAATGCGCCCACTCATTATCGGAATACGGTATTATGTGCATGCCTAGAGCCTAAGCCCTAAACCATCACCGACGCAACCCAAAAGAAATATAACTGTTATTCTGTCGTTTTACTACCTCGACTGTGTGTCCAACACAAGTTTGAAGCTTCGTTAAAACGGGAACAAAAGAAGTGAACGTTGCAGGCACGTGGCTTTCAGGAGTGCTGCCCTAGCGCCGTTTAGCGACTTCAACTGCGGAGGGACCGCCGTAGCTTTCATGAAAGGTAGAGAGGGGCATGGCATTGCATCTATGTCACGATGCACAATGCATGCTGGAAGCCGGCCATATTAGGCCAATGCAGGTCTGCGCGCGTTGGGGAATTTCAAACTCACTCCATCTGAGAAGCAATTGGCCACGATTCGAGAGTTTGTTGTTGTTTTTGTTTTAATTCACAGAAGCAGATTTCTTCCACTGCCACGCTGCCGGGGATCAAATTAGTTTTAGCAACAAAATAAGCGAGCACCCAAATGTTTTGTCGCGTTACGTCCTCCGTTCACAAACATGCAGCCCAAGGACTTCATCTGGCTAGAGCAATATTCTGGTCAATGAAGAGCAGAAGTTGAAATGCGGGAAAGAGAGGGGGGGGGGGGTAATGCATTGCTACTCCCACAGTTAGGGGGGGATGTTCTGCGAGACACTGATATCAGTTTTAAGGGGTCATTGGTCCAATCGCCACTGAATATTAATGGCACCTATTTCTCCACGACGATTGTGCCAACACAGGGGTCGGCAAACCAAAGCAACAAGAAGAGCCATTTTCCGAATTCGGTACAAAACTCAATATTTCCAAAGCCGCAATGCATGCGAACACGTACTACACACATTACGTCACGGAGCAGTCCGTATAGAGCCGCAGGTTGCCCGACCCTTGAGCTTACAAGAGGTCATAACACCGACCGCAGATATTGTTCTTTCGCTCCGGCTGACGTTCGGCGGCATAAGCTTGCAGGACCATTCTAAACACGGCGTCCGATGAAAGCAACAACGCGCCCCACCACACGGAGGAAGGGGGCCACACTCTAGGCGAAGGACCGAAATTACCACGTGGGTGCGGCAAAGGGTTGTGATCGCTGGCGGTGTTTTCGAAGTGCGACGGTGGGGTTGGTGGGGAAAGATTTTATTGTCGTCAACACACGGGGCCCAGCACCGAGTCTCCTGTAGCCAGGGATCAGAGAGGCCGTGGTTCCCCCACAGAACCATTTGTCAAGAGCCTCTCCCAGCTCCCAACGAGCACACGGGCCGGTCGGCTTGTCACTTCCTGGCGGCCCCGAGCCAGCGGTGGGATTTCCGCATGTTTGAGTAAAGCAGGCGGCGGGGGGGGGGGGGGGGGGGGGGCAAGTCTTTCCCGTCTGACCTCTGTTGACTTCCCACAAAGTGGTGCTTAATTTACCAACCCCCCCCCCCCCCCATATATACGATGGGTCGAGTCGGCCCCTGACTGGCATAACAACGAGCAGGCATCATTTGGCTCTCCCCCCCCCCCCCACACTCGAATGACCTTCATTATATCTAAAGTTGCGATAATCGAGGTCTGTTTCAAAAGGGCATAAACACTGAAAGCTTTTGTGGAAAATTGTACAGCATAAAAAAACATATAGGTCCTATGAATAAAAGTGGCAAAATATGGCAGCTTTATCAGATTTCTCCTCGAGGTCTCCATTGAACCAACATTTAAAACTGTTCCTAAATTTTTCTTCAGATAAAAAAACAAACTGCTTCAAAAGTAGAAAATGTAATAACGATCGCAGTTTGTCGCAATATTTCAATAAATATACGGAAAATAAAATAACAGTTTCAGATCGGTCGACTGAGAAGAGCATGGTGGTGGTCTGACTGGCGATGGGAAACTACCATTGCTGTAATGGCAGACAAGTGCTCCAGACGGCCGCGAGAGAATGGGACCAAGAAGAGAGGTTGGTGCTCTCACTCACGGGGGCCCACTACCCTCGTTGCATCTCTGCGGACTAAGAGGACTGGTCCCCGCCATCAAGGCGGCCGTATGGGGGGGGACACTAGAAGGTTTTTTTCAGGCCGGGGAAAAGAAAAAAACTTCCCACGGCCCTCCCGAGGCTGTACGTGAACCCATCAGTTCACGCCAACGCCATAACCCCCCAAAGCTTCAGCAAAATCCGAACCACTCTGCTGGCGATTTGATGGCACCACCAGCTTCTCACAACGGCCATCACATCGACGATGTTGATCAAGATGATGGCGGCGATGACGATGATGACGATGATTAACATGGAAACGGCAACTGGATTCACATCTCATTACAAATCCTGAAACGAATTTGAATTGAAATCGGCTTTGCGACAGAACTGGACACCGGTAGAGCCCCTGGTGAAGCACAATCATCTCACTGGGGTTGGCTGCACTGGGCATCGACTGGAGCACGGGGTGTTGCCGGCTACGTGTTCCTAGAGCTGGGCCTGCCCTCACCCTGCCTCCCCCCCCCCCCCAACTCAAATCTCAACCTCAATTAGCCAGCATTGTATTTCGGTTGTTCCGCGTGATCCAACTCCAGGACTGGTTCGCCAGATAAATGCCCCCCCTCCCTCCCCCACCACTGCTGCTCGGGTTGCCGCCTATCCTGGTGCTCTCAGAATCGTCCATCCTCGTGTCGAGGTAGCCATCCTGGGAAATTTGTAAACATCCCGGTTCTTGGCAGTCTGCGTAATAACACGCCGCTCTAAGGCAACACGATCACGTGTATAGTTCTTCCCTTCTTGCGGTATTTCTTCCCACGTTTTTTTTTTATTAAGAATATTACACGCACGTATTTTTGAACCGAGGAGGCGGCCACCCTGGCAGGCTTTCCGCCCAGCACCCCCCCCCCCGGGGGGCCGGCGCCTCTACTTGTCGCTGTCGGCACAGCTGCTCAGGCTCTGCGTGGTGGTGCTGTTTTCCGAGCCGGGGAGCGGGTCCGAGTCGCGCGCCGCGTCTCCCCCGGGGAGCAGGGCGGGCGCCGCCTCCGGGGTGGTCGTGACGGACGCGGCGGCGGGGCCGGCGCGCGTCGCGATGGCTGGAGACGGGGTGGTGGTGGGGGGAGGGGGGGGGAGACGCGGTACGGAGGGAGGCACGGGCAGAGAGAGAAGGGGGTGGGGATGGGGGGGTAGGCTCGGCGAACGTGGTTGGGGGGGGGGGGGGGGCTCCGCGTTGACGTCTGGGAGCCGTGCTGGCGACGCGCGACACGACCGATTAACGCGCTCGGGTCGTCGACCCAGACGGGCAAGCAGAGTGGCAAGGGGAGAGAGAAAGAAAGGTTAGCACCGTTGGCTACGTACGGTGCGAAAGAAGTCCAACGTACCCACAAACTAAACTACATATCGAAGCGGCTTATCGTGCGGAAATTTTAAGCGGCCAAATACTCTAAACGCTTGGTGTCGAGTCAAAATGTGGAGGGAAAAACCGGAGGACCTGGAGAAAAATCCACACGGCCACAGGGAAAGCGAGACACATAAACTCCAAATATACAGCAGGTATCGTCAGGGTCGGGATCGAAACCCACAAACGACTTCCTGTATACCAGTCGAGATCGTTAACATCTAACCAACGTAGCACATTTATACATACAGAGGAAGGCCGCTGCGGAACACGAGGAGATGGCCGTGGTGAGCACCATGGTGGGAGACCAAGAGGCAGGGAAAATATGGTGGACGTATGTTGAACTTCTTTTTCACCGTACATAGCTAACCGTGATAAATCAGACGTGCGGGGAAGGAGGTCCCATGCCAGGATATGAAGGATTGTGGAGTGGACATAGAGATGATGGCCCAGGACAAGAATGAGTGGAGAGAGAGGATCAGGAAACCATATCCACAGAGAAGTGGGTTAAAATTCCAGGAAGAAAATACGAGGCTTAAGTTGTTTTATTATAGGGAAGACAGCTCTGAGATCTCGAGCCTGGTGGCGCTGTGGTGGTTGGACCTTTCCACTCACAATTGAAAGGTTAAAATTTCCAGTCAATGATCGACTTGACCCATTATCATGGTCAGCACCTTTCTATGATCAGCAAAATAAGTAGCACTTTGTGGGAAGTCAGCTGTCCCTCTGAAAGACAGGCAAATCGTAATGCCATGGGGGATGTGGAATTCCCAACACTGACAAGGCTACGAAGAGATAACAGCACCGCTCAATGCCCTTTTGAGCGGCAGAGGAAAACAGTTTGGTTTGGACCACCGGGGAGATAAGGGTGGTTTACACGTGACCGACACTGGCCAACACTTTCCTCTTGCGTGCCCGTGCCAGCCCCAATTAGGCGCTCGCCAGCAAGGAAGTGACAACCGGCGGCTCCGCGTCTCTTGTCTATGCGCGTGTCCACGAGCAGGCGTGTGCTTTTCTACCTAAAGAGCCAGTCCGGCTGTGGATGAGCCAGAGCGCAGCGGTGAGGAGAGCGCCGATGAGGAATGCGCCAAACGCCACTCCTAGCACCGACGGCGTGTCGACGCCACGCAGAGCTGCACCGCAGAGAGAGACGCACGTGGTTAGCCGGGCGTGTATGTAGAACTTCTCTCGCACCATACAGTCAACAGTGCTGAACGGAGGTGTGGGGGAAGGACAAACGGAACGCAACTAGCAGTTCTAATGAAATTCTTTTCAATCTATATTTAAAGAAGTGCATAAATCCAGTGGCTTCCTAATACATCATCACACTCACATGCACCACCAAATACCCACACCGTCACACTCACATCATCAGAACCCTGTGCTAACCCCGCACCTTCGATTAGCACGGTTGGCTACGTACGGTGTGAAAGAAGTTCAACATACATGCAAGCACCAAATACCCACACCAGTGCGGTTGCTCACCGTTACTGCGCAGCTGTTCCTGGCTGGTGGTGGTTGCGATGACGTGTCGCAGGGTCGGACCGCGGAAGTTGATCATGCAGGGTCGCGCGGGCACGTCCGGGCACTGGGCATCGCGGCACGGAAACAACAGCGGAAGGGGGAATGTCAACAATAATGTCATCAGCAACGGCAAAGGGCCCAAAAACAGCCGTCAGACAACAACGTTGGCTTCCCACAGTACAAATACAACAGAAGTCCGTTTTTGCACACGAACCTAATTGTACGCATTAGGCGAGATCGCTTTGTAACCGAATCAAATCGTGTGCAAATGCGACGCTAACATTAAATTTGGGCCAATGAAGCGAATGAGACGGAATGAACAAACAACCAACATGGTGGCACAATTAAAGAGAGACGAGAAAAAAAAACAATTCTTGACATCAAATCGCAATGCCCACCATGCACCTACTTCTCCGTGCCTCTCTGGATCACACGGAGGCACGGAGGGGGGGGGGGGGGGGGACGAGGTGGAGGAAGGGGCGAGTCGTACCCGTATCTGTGGCAGCTCCTCCATCATGGACAAGCACACGGACACGTTGCAGTGCAGGTACTGGAGACGCGCGTCCGAGCGAGGGGACAGCGGGAACCGGAACCTCATACTCGCCTCTGCCATCGCAGACAGAAAGACAAGGACAACCCCCTCCTCCATGTAGCCCACACAGGCCGTTCGCGAGTCACGTACGAGGGGCCGGTACGACGCACGAGGCGGGCGTTTTGTGGTGTGGTTAGCACCGCCGATGCCTGGCCTCCAAAAGTCTCGCTGGTGCCGATGTTTTACACGCCGCACCAGGTAGTCATTTTATTCTTTAGGGAGAGGCACAGAAAAGCTCTTGTTCAGAGGTGACATGGCCACACACGATAAGCTCATCGAAGTGGCTTATAATCATATTGAAATTTACCAAAGCCGAATAAAAGCTACAACTAATGTTTCTAAATGTGGAAGGCAAAACCAAAAGGAACCACTGCGGGGAGAGAGAACACGTGAATATTAATATGTACAACAGGGTCGGGATTGAACCCACGACCTCCTGCGTACCAAGTGAGGGCGATAGCATCTTCTCGCAACCGTGGTGCCCCAGTAAACTCGGCGAAGCCCAGGACCAGTTTTAAATAATTTGCCGCTGATGTGGGCCAGGGCCAAGAACTCAGGCTCGTAGCATGGTGCACGCCAACCACCTCGCTTCCACAATTCACTTCCACCGAGGAAATCGGTACCAATCAGGGTTTGTCCCCTCAGGCGATATGGCCAAGGGGGGAACATCTGGGTCAGGCCAGATGTGTTTTTCGCCGACTACGAATACAATTTCCATTTGATTTATGAAACGACTGAATGTCGTTTCATAAATTGGTGTCTCAAGATGTGTAAATGATGGGCTTTTTACGTGATTAATGAGGCAGGAAGAATTTTTGGGGGGAAATGGGGGCAAATTTTTCTCCATGCTGGAAAGAAACAACGGAGCACATTCATCATCACTGTCATCTCAGCCACGATCCATCCCCTACGGCTGGATGAAAATATTCACATTATTTGTAGATACAACTGATAGATCACGGCTGCTGTGATGATAATGATGATATCAAATGAATTACCTCAAGGCTAATGGAACCAGCGATACAACAAAGGCATATGAAACAGGAAATATGACAAACGAGACATAACACGAGATTTTATTTTAGATAAAATGTTTTACTTCAGAACCCTGTAAAGTGATAATGAATCCAATCGTAGGGGAGCTGGAGGAGAATAGTTTTGACGGTGCCGAACCACCACCCTCCCCTGCCACAGTGTGTCCACACGGCCCGCTATAAGCCCCCAGTACTAACAGACCGGGCCCAGTTAATGTGGAATGTCGGGCCAACGTTGGGCCAATGGTTCCAACGAGGTGCCAACGTTGGTACATTTTAGCGAGTGGGCCCCATTTGACCAAATTGCATTGACCAGTGCGGGTGATGTATGTTAAAAAGATGCCCGTAACGGACACGGCGCGTGGAGACCTCTATCCAGCAGTCGATTGAGAATGGGCTGTACATATACTTGCATTACCGGACCACTCCCCCGAAATCCCCACCTTAACATTTCGTCTCACGACGCATGTGGTGGGACAAACATTTCGGGTGAACCTGAGCTACCATAGGAACGTACCTTCACCGGCCGGGGCGACCCTCAGAAGCTCCACGCGTGGGTTCACAGGACAGAAGTTGGCAATCAGCGAGTCGGCCTGGGCAACACAGAGGCAGCGGCGGCGGCGCGGTTACACGAAAGACAAGCTCGTTTTGTGGAGTAAAGAGAAAAAAAACTCAACGTGCAGTATGAAAAATAAGAATAGGTTTTACTCTTTCCAGCAATAAAACAGGCAAAGGGTAAGACATTCTTATTTTTAATACTTTGATACTGGCTAAAAGGTCCTATGATAAATGTACAGTGTTACGCGTGTAAAGTGGGTGTACAGGTAACAAACAAAACACCCCATAGTCACACTGTCATCACCACTGCCTTAGAAGAGGATAGATTAACCCTTTCCCATTCGGAAACATCTGGAAGTTGTAGGGTGGTTGTGGGGGTCCCGTTCACTGCCGAATCTCGGAATGCGCAAGCGGTTCGGCGTTAATTTTATTTAGAGGCGTTGTTTTTATAGACATTGTTGCTCACTGCAGCAATGACCACTGCACTCTACGACAACTGGCACCAAATTGTGCCACGCGCCTTCCCGCGTGGCCTTATGGGAGTTTCGGTACTGATAAAGTTATTTTTATTTAGTTTTCTTCTGGTTCCGTTTTGACGACGTACACATACAAATTACACGAACGTCATCGGAATGGAATCGGAAGAAAAACTGATGACGTACATGTACAGCATTGGAATGGGATAGGGTTGAGCAGGTCGACATTTCAGGCAATGAATGACGCCAAAGTCAGGAATCGAAACCAGGCCCCTTCTTGCTGTGATGCCCCATGCCCCATTCCAGATTGTTTAATCCCTTTGCAGCCAAACCATTTGTTTTATTCTCAAAGCTGTGATTTAGCCAAATTATGATTTTGTTTTAAAAAATTGTTATTTCGTGCAATAATTAGTGACAGAGCTGATACCAGAGATCTGCTAGAGTTGAAGATCCGGTTTCTTCACAAGTGGCCGAATTCAAATCCAGGATTTCAGTTTTGCCTTTTTCTTCTTGTCGTATGGCTGTTGATGTAGATGCAGAGCAACAACTACAATTTCACATTAAGGCGGTCAAGCCGGGCAACCACGTCAGGGGCAGAGGAGGGTATCGCCGTGATGTCTCCTTCGTATTTGCGGAACAGGCATTGCGTTGATAATTGGTTTTTTACCCTTTTATCTGGCAACAAAACTGACACCTTTTTTACAAGGAGTCATGTTTGCATAGACTACAATACCTGCAGTCGTAATGCAAACAAAAAACACAACTCTGATGGTGCACTGTCCTTGAAATTGATTGGTCCACACCCGAGACAGCTTTTCTTAGAGCCCAGTCTCACATGGTGTTGGACCTTTTGGCGTCGGCCACCTCTGTAGTCCAGTAACCTCTCGTCACGCACCTCTGGGGGTAGCTGTGCAGGTTCCTCAGATTCTGATGAAGCTGGTGACCCCACGGCAGGTTTTCGGGAATCCGAGACGAAGCACGCTTGCGCGAAAATCTGCGCTCCCGGAATCTGCGCGGAAATCTGCGGAGCCAAAACCCGAAGACGGCAAAAGCTAAGATCGACAATTCAACGTGTTTTTTTGCGGAGGGGATTATACCACACATCGGAGTTTAAACCGGAGTAATAATTAATCCAACATGGTTAGGATTCCTGAACGTTGCATTGGCGGAAGCCACATTTTGACGATTTTTTCATAGGAAAAGGGGTGGTAGAACTGTCAGGTTCATGTCAAATATCATTGCAGTCCGCCTTTTTCCACCCAACACAGGAGGGAAACTCGAGTAGCGTTGGGAAGGTTCCTGCAGATTCATCGCCCCTGCGCGTCAACCCACAAGTGTCATAAACCGCCCACGCATGAATAAATTATGAACTATTCAATAAATACAAAAAGTCCTTTACCTTCCAACCCCTCCCCCCCCCCAACACATGGGTCAAACGAGAGTGTTTTATATTTCACCCTGGCACGGCGTTGAGATTTCGCCTAATGGAATGATGACAGCCACATGGGTTCTGGTAACGTTGACCTCATTTCTCCTCCAACCAGGATAAACGTTTTTTGTTATCGTGCATCTTGTTTAACACAACACGTCTCAGGGCAGGCGTGGGGGCACAGCTGTGAGTGGCTTTTCACCAGAATTAACCAATTCCTGTCTGTGGGCTTGACGGCAGCGTTGACGCTCAGGGAGGCCAAATGCCAAAGTCGAGGTCTGCTCGCCACTTACGAGAGAGGACTCCAGGAGAGAGTTTGTGTAGTTTTGCTTCGTTGAAGGGCGGCCCAGACTGCAGGTGCTATTTACGATATGGTCTATCCTGCCCTCTACCAATTGAAGACAAGGGGAACTTATTCTCCGTTTCCACAAGATTTGATTTAATTAAACAAATCATCATCTTCCTTCTGTCCTCTCACCCGGATCCAAGATGGTATTCCTCGTCCTGTGCTGCCTTTAAATTACAAACTGTCACGTGGTCTACAGTTCGGGTCACATGGCCACAAACCGCACTCCTGAGATGTGTCTGGAATCTCCGAAATACGTGAAGGAGATGTGCACATCCGCCTGTTGATGTTCTGATGATGTTGCTGGTTATGCGCACGTCTTGAATATTCGAGGATAAAATTACTGGTGCACATCAGAAACACCATCGGACCCCTTCAAAATATTTACATTTAAAAAAAGAATCTGCTGATAATGTAAAACAGACCAAGGGAGCTTGCTTATGACACTGTAAATGTATAGGAAGATTCCGCATTGAGTCACACAGGGTGTTGGAGAGAGTTCCTTCAGCGAGCACCTATCACGTTTGACGGGGCGCAACGTGTGGTGTGGCCAGCATCATGCCTGGATGGCCCCCAAGTGGTGCTTGGTGCTGAGATTTACACAAAACAGCAGGTATTCATTGAAGGCTTAGCCAACCTAGGAGATGCACATAACAATTTCTGATATAATTTTGCCACTCATCTTAGCTCCAGATGGGAAATCGGAACTCGGCGCACTAACTGGCATACTACCGCTCCCCACAGCACAGACACACACAAACACACAGCACACGTAAAGCACAAACACACCAAACAGATTCCTATCTTATTTCAACTTGCATAGCGCCCTGACCAAGGCAATGAACAAAGAATTAGCTATTTGTACAGCAGAATTAGCGTGATGAAATGAGATGAGTTGATGCCGAGGAAGATAGTAAATTAATTTGATGATGTGCGAAATAAATGATCGTGAAAGTGACGGTGAGTGGTGAACGGACGAGCAAGCATGATGAATGCGGAGGGAAGTTGGGAAAAAGAAGAGATTGGCGCTCACCTTCACAAAAACATCGCTTCCCGTTTGCACCAAATCCGTAATGGGCTGCATGAACTCGGAGTCCTTGAACAGGTCAAACGAGTAGATCGAACGGTCCAAGAATTCAGGCTCCGTCTGTTCATTGATTCCCATGTGACCGAGAGCGCCGTGCGGGTTTGGTGGCGAATTATTAAAAGGTAGGGGGCAGTTGAGCTGGAAAACACAAGGAGAGACACATATCATCATCATCATCACCAACAACGATGACGACGACAACGACGTGACCATCACTGCTGTCACCATGGTCACAAAGCGGCGAATTCAATGATGCACTGGAGAAGCAATCGATTTTTATCGTCTTACGTTGACGGTTCGCAGGATTCCTTCGCCCTCAAACTCGGGCACGTCGCCCGGATTAATCCTGATTTGGATCTGCACAAAAAAAAACATCCACACACATGGGATACAACCGACGATTAATTAAACTGTACGCTAAACGCATGACAAAAAAAGACTCGATCGGCCGTTCACCCACGCACACCACGGAGGGCAAGCGCTGCTCATGAGCACACCCGGTCGTTATGCGCAAGCGTCGGGATGGACACTGAACGCCGCCGACCGCCTCTGCCTGGCTGGCAAGTTCTGAAGCTTGCAAGCCACTATTTGACCTTTCGGATCTCGCCGGCAAATGGGGCCCAGTTGCGCGGGTTTTTTGTGCCGATGCGGGGGCCTCCGTTCCTGACGTGTTGATGGAGTGCTCTGATCAATAACATCTGTACAGACCAACTGTTTTATTAAGAAGCCTGGCTTCTGCTGATAAAACTCATAGGATGAAAAGGTTTACTCAACTACAGTTATTTAACACGAGTCTGGAAGGCCCAGTATCTGAAGGACATTTCTATTTTTACAGGGAAATACAGAATGGAGGGTCGACGCACGAGTTTTGTTTTCCTATTGGGGTAGCAGCCATGAGGGGTCGCCAGGAGTCATGCGAGCTCACCACATACGAGTTGCACAAATAAACAAAGGTCGACGATGACGTGCACAGCGATGCATCACGAGCGCGAGGTTTGAGTGTGGACAGTGGCACCACGGCTCTCGAGGGTGCAGACGGTGCAATTGCACCAGGGCCAACGGGGCTGGAGCAGCCCAGGCACCCAACCAATGACGTCAATTGGTCAGTGGTGGGTGAGTGGCATTTCATTCCTTGCCCCCAGGAGCCTCACGGAACACCATTCATCGGATTTTTTTTATTTACGATGGCGGATCGGAAACACGCAACACTGGCTTCCGTCGACTACAACGATCCCCATACATAAATACAATTCCGAGCGCGAAGGCTTCGGGGGAAGTTGGCAGCCTTCAGCGGGCCCTCCGTGCCATCTGCAACAACGGCCACCGGGCCCCCCCCCCCCCCCCCCCCCCCCCCCCCCCCCCCCCCCAGCGGGCACCTGGTTGGAGTAGGAGATGAGGCCGTCCATGAGGGTGAAGTTGGAGCTACAGTTGTAGTAGTCTGTGTGCAGCACGAAGTGAGTCTCATTCTCCATCGCCACGCACCGCTCGTCCAGCAGCGTCAGGCGCAGCGGAGTGCCGCCCACCAGCTGCACAAGCAGTAGTCGGCACGGCAACGCGCAGACATGGTCAGCTGCGATTGCGCGTGTAGCGGCGAGGCGACCCGCCGGTTCGTGGACCGGCGCTAAACGCGATTGGTCAGCGAACAGTGGGGGAAAATCAACGCGCGTGCAGCGACGATGACTTTGACTAATGACACCAAGCGCGAGTGACTGCGATGGGACGAAACCAACGAGTCTGAATGAAGACGCAGACCGAGGCGATTTACTCAATTATTGGAGACCACGGTGCAACCAAGGAAGGTCAACACACAATTGGCTATCTGCGTGTGCGTAGGTATATGAAAAGATTTACAGAGTTCAACGATCGCCTGACTTGATAATAATTACATGGGTTGGAGGGGGGGGGGGGATATTTGCTCACCCCTTATACCACCATCCATTAGGTAAGAGTGTGTTTGACAGAATTTTCAACTGCTTTAGGTCGACGAGACTAAGAGAACGATCAAATGAAATCCCCAAACTAAGACCTCAGACTACGACTGTAATAACACTCCCAGCTAAGTTTGACACTGGCCCTGCCTGTAAACACTGTCCACCTGGGTCGTCTCACCCCTCCACGTGCTCTCCACTCCAGCTCTCCTACTAACTAACACCCTCCCCAGTCAGCCCCCACCTCGGTGCCGAGTGGCTCCTTCTCTGCTGTTCCTGCTCTCTCCCCCCCCATAGTCTGGCATTTCCTTTCTCCGGCCGTCCACAATGGCCTCCCCCCATTTCAAGTCCGCGCTCAACGATTTCGCTTCTTCCGCTCTCCACTTGCGACTTCCTTCGCGACTTGTCTCTGTTGGTTCATTGCCGTGGCCCGTTCTCCCTTAGACCCCTCGCCCCCCCCCCCCCCGCCGCCCCCCCACTCCACGTGTTTCTTCCGTCACACAGGATCCTGGGATGCGCTCTCATATTAGATTGAGATCATTTGGCTGCCTGTACATCGCCACACGATAAGCCATTTATTGAGCTATCATTTGTGGCCTGAAAAAGAAGTGATCAGCTCAGACAGCCTTATCTGCTAAAATAAAAATTGTTTGGTTTTAGTTTATTGGTTTATTTTTTGTGATTTGCATACCTTGCCTATACTTTAAACTCCTATTGTTGTTTTGTATTGTTTATTGTTGTAACTTTCTGACCCACCCCTACTGAACATCTGTGAAAAAGAGCTTTATAGGCCATCAAATACCTCCAGCAGAAAGATTATGATGTGGATTGTGTTTATCCTTATTATATAGAAATACATTTTCATAATTGAGATGTTCATTTTTACGATGATGATGACGACGGCAGTGTTGACGATGATGATGTTGACAGTGATGCTGCATATACCGACATTTGTGATGTTTGCGTAGAGATTGAAGACAATGTTACCGTTGTGCTACAAGGACGACGACTATCGATCAATGATGATAATTACGACGACGTGAACGATGACGACGATTTTAATATCGACGATGTCGACCTATCGTGCGCGAGCGAGCACTCACAATGGACGCTTCCTTCCACACGCTCACGGTCATCTTCGTCTCCAGGCAGCGCAGGGTCACGCCCATCTCCACCTCCTTCTCCAGCACCACGTCCCCGTGGCTGTCGTGCTTCATGCCCAGGCCCGGCGGACGGTTGTGAGGGTTTCCCGAGTCAGAGCCGTCTCTCTCCGACGGGTTCACCGGCCACAGAATATCTTGCCCCAAAGGGAACGAGGAGAGCATTTTCTCATCCAACGGATAGATCTCCTTGCCGTGCTGGGACGGAAACAGCCTGACGTCTCCCAGATCAGGGAAGGCGTGGGCGGGGATGTTTATTTGAAGTCCTTCGCCATCGGGGCTGTGGGTGTGGTCATCGAGGTCTGGAAAAAGAAGACATAGGATTTGCCATTAGATATCTGACCGAGAAGGCCCAACAACAACTAGGCGTGTGAACATCGGCAGCGGGGAATCAAAGGCAGCCAACCACCCCCTTGTGTGCTGCGACGGCCTTTGTAGATGCTGGCGAACAGCACTTGGTCCATATGGGGGATATTATTTGTCTTCGTTTCATGGGAAGCGGTAGCACAGTGGTTCGCGCACTGCGCTAGGAACACGGCGACCCGAATTGGATTCCTGCACATGGTCAACATCGGTGATGGATATCTAAACTGGTCATGGGCCTCTCCTAGGCCGACTCAGCATCTGGTGTTGTATGTAAACATCAGAACTGGGAAGACCAAGGTGGCCAGGTGTGCTGCTGGCCACACCACCCCCTCATGTGCCATGCGGACCTGAATCGATCCTCGCGAACAGCTCTTGCCCACAACACTGTCAAGGTCTACATGGGGGATCTTTGTCTTTGTGCGTGCATGTGGTACGTCTGTGTGTGCAAGCATACCAGGTGAGGGTGGAGGGTTTCTGTTAAATCCCTTTTGAGGTTGGAACTTGAGGAGAGGCACTCTGTCAACCTGCACATCTGCCAATTCTGAAAACAAAATCACACACAGATAGAAAACAACGGACAGATACAATCTTACACACACACACAGACAAATACACATGCACAATCTCACCAAGCTGGCAAGGCTGAGGCCCTGGGTTCGAATCCAGGTCTCAGCCACCTGTTATTATACCAGGTGCTAAAGTGTAGCGAGGTGATGGTCTCAGGTCACGAATTAACTTCACGGAACAAAAACTCCCACATCAATTCTAGTCAGGACAATTTGTCGATTGAGTTTAACCAATCGACTGAAAGTTATAAAATCGATGACTTCGGGCCAACTAAAAATAGCAACTACCCCATCACATCCAGCGTGACGTGGCCAATGGTGTCGATGACATCACCAAGACCCCCCCCCCATTTCCGGGTTATCGAACCGATAATTAATCCGTAGAGTCAGCGATCACTGGGATGACCGAATTACCCAGCTCTAATTACTCAGTTAAAACTATTTGTTTTTACCATTTAAGGCCCACTGAGATAAACAACTCTTTTTCAGAAGTGACCTGGCCATAAATGATAGTTCAACAAAGTGGCTTATTTGGAAATTTATGGCAGCCTAAATACTATAAACACATGATGTTGATTCTAAATGTAGTGGGGGAAAACTGGAGGACCTAGAGAAATATCCATGTAACCACAAGGAGAACATGCAAACTCCAAATATACAGGTGTCAGGGTCGGGATCGAGCCAACGACCTCCTGTACAAGAGGGGAGGTAGTTAACATCTCCCCACCGCAGAACAATTTAGCTTGTCACTATATTCCACAAACTCCATCTCCAAGGGCTAAACCACTGCAATTTGATAACCGTGCAATGCACACACGCGCATTGCAGGGCATAAGGGGTGTGCCCCCCCAGTGTTGAAATTAGGCATGTTGAATTAAGGGGACTTCAGGAGTAGTTCTGCAAAGCCAACTTCATGGGCCTTCTCTACCAAAATGTCACCCTGCTCACCATGTAAGTTCTGAAAAGATATCTCGCAACGCTGATAGCACAATTGCTCACAATTGTCTCCCCGCGCCACCCCTCAAAAAAATGTAAATCCATAATCATAACATAAATATTACATCTGTTATAGGTTCACATATGAGAGGTGAATCATAAAGTTTGTGGCCTGACAGGAGGAGGAATAGTGCAAGAAAAAAGGGAAAATTTTGCTAATCCGGATTTTTTAGCACTCGAAATGTATGGCTACAGAAGGATACTACATCTAAGCTGGACCCAAAAATTGACCAACGTAGACGAAAAGGGTTGCGGATAGAAGAAGACAACCTGATGATGCAGGCAGTGATGAGGAAACTGGCACTATTTGGGACCCATATGTAGGATGGACAACAGGAAAATTAAAAAAGTGTGTTCTTTGGAAAAAATTAAGGAACCAGAAAGAGAGGAAGACCTAACAGAGAATGGCTTCTTGATGACGACATAACAGATTGGTGCCACAAAGATGTGGCATTACTTGAGCATATTGGCACAAGACAGAGGAAAGTGGAAACGTAACGACACATGCAGTGGACACATATGGGCTATTTGTCCATCGGTTGTGATGATTTCACAACAATAGAATAATGGTCATGTTCTACATGCATTGGGTGGCAAGGTGGTGACTCTCATGCCATCGCTCGGTGCAAGAAGGGCCTAACTTCGAGCGCCTTGCTGTGTGGAGTTTGTATATACCCCCCCCCCCCTCTCGCCCATCTGTTCTGCATGGGTTTCCTCCCGTTGCTATAAAAAAAACTTCACACAATGTAACTGGTATTTGCCAAAAAAACCCCCCAATGCAATCGACTCAATTCGGATTACACAGGGCAATATCGCCACCCCTACTGCAAAACATTGGCAGGACCCTCTTTGAGACGAACAAAAAGAGTCTTGAGACTCAAGCGAGGCTTTCCTGGGTAAACAAGCACAATAGTAATAAATAGACACTCCAAGCCTAAGACGTGCCATTTAGACTCTGTCTTATCGACAGACATGTTCTTCACCTGAGGACGGCTGCTTGCGTTGTGGCCGAAACGTCGTGAGAATTATTTTATTATGCTTTATTTTTATTATTTTATTACTTCCCTTCTACGTGACTTTACCGAAAGAACCAAGAAGATGAATAGTAATACTAATAATGCATCCGTCAGCACAGCCAGCACAGCTCACGTGGGGTACCCAGGTCTGCAGGGATGGTCAGGCGGATGTGGTTGGCCTGAGCGACCAACGTGTAGGTTGCCACGGGCGACAGGCCCCGCCTCTGAGCCCAGCCAATGAGGTCGCGGTTGGGGCCCATGAGCTCCTCTCCTTGTATACGCTGCACCGTCATTAGCTGCTTGTGGGTGACGCGGCCAGACGTCTGGAAAAATGAGAAGTGGCGTTTGGGTCGAGGCAAATGGAATTCAAAGCAGTGCGATGCTCACCTGTGTGTGTGTGTTTGTTGGTGCGGGAGTTTAGTGGTTAGCGCAATAAACTTCGAACCAGGCGACCCGAGTTCAATTCCTGCTTAGGACCAAAAACAGTGAAGAATGATCGACTTAGTCCTAGGCCTCCCATAGGTGGACTAGGCCTTAAAAATGGTGCTATGCTTAAACATCAGCACTGGTAAAACAAGCGGCCAGGCGTGGTGCTAGCCATCCACCTCCTCATGTGCCGTACCGGCCTTCATTAGGTACTCGCGAACAGCACTTACACCCCAACATAGCTGATATACAAATGTGTCTATGTATTCGGCATTTATATATGGTCTCCGATAAAAAAAATTTTTAAATCTCATTTTACATTAACGTTGTATTTTTCCCATTGGCTTTTATCTCATGACAAATTTCATTTGCCACATTCGCCTAAATGTAATAGGAGCATGTAACGTGCCTGTAATTCGTATAAGCCCTGGAGGGGAATTTTTACACGCTCAATTCGATTCATCTATCGTGCGCGTGAGAGTTGATTTTATCAACAAATGGGTGCAATTAACAAAAACAGCTCGACACATTCATACATAACACTGCAGCCTTAAAAAGAAAAAAATAGATAATAGGAAAGATGTGGAGCAATGGTACTTCTTCATCATCATCATCACGATCCATGGGCAGATAGCCCATAGGTGTAAATTACAAACTCTTTGGTTCTTTTGGTAAAGTCACGTAGGTATAAAATAAAATAAACCACGACGTTTTGGGCGCCGACTACTACTACGTGTTAAACTGACCGAAAGACATCCCAGGACAACTACCTCGAAAAGAGGACGATGTTCAAATCAAATCAACCTAAATCTTGACAAAGCTTTCGTCGTGATTTTTTATTTTATTATTTTTCTATCTACGTGACTTTACCAAAAGATCCAAAGAGTACAAATCAACCTAGTTCATCACAGAATAACAGTGCAGTCTGTAACACCACCGGCTTTAAACGAGAAACAAGAGGACGATCCTGCGAAATCCAAGACAGGTGGCAACCCTCGAGATAACTGGAACGCGCGCACCTACGTGTGCGTGCACGTGTGTATGCGCGCATGCGTTCGTGCCCGTGCGTCGCGTACGCGTGCCGTGAGCAGAGGCAGGCCAGCCGCGGTGTGGATCACCCAGTTAACAGGCATCGGGCAGTACAGCAGCAAGACGACCTCCCGCATCACCTGGCCCCCACGCGGCCCCACGTCCACCTCCACGTGCACGTCCGTCTGCAGGCCGCTGCACAGCAGGGAGCGACAGGAGGAGGAGAACGTCACGACAAACGGGATATGACGTGGGGATCATCACGTGCCGTGGTCTGTGCAGCGCCTTGCCACTGGTCGAGAGGAATAAAAAACTTTCAAATGGCGAAATACACTCGTGTTGATGATTAAACGTCTCCTACGTCTTTCTCGTGAAAATTATCGGCACCAGCTTTGTCCAAGGAGATGTGTTTCGGTTATATGGGTCAAGATGTGAATCTAGAACAAAGGGTCTCCTCACTACACCAGGCAATAGAGTGGGCACTCATTTTGGTGGACCTGTGGTTATCACAGTGCGTTAACCACAGCGCCACCACTCCATCTTTGCTACGTAAAGTTAGCATAACATAAATAACTGGTGTCGTGTGGTCAACATTATTATGGTTGGACCATATTAATGCCAATTAGTGCTCGGCAGATGGGATGCAGCGGTGGCAAGATGTTATCTCCCTCGCCTGGTATGCAGGAGGTTGTAGATTCGATATTTGAAGTTTGCATTTCTACCCGTGGTTGCGTGGATTTTTCTCCGCCTCCAATTTTTCCCTCCATTTTGAGAATCAACGTGCGTTTACAGTATCTGGCTGCTATAAATGTCCATGTCATAAGCCACTTCACTGAGGCATCATTTGTGGCCAGGTCACTTACCTGGTAAAATAAAAAGTTTAGTTTTTAGTTTTATTAGGGTTAAAAAGGGGATGTGGTGCGTGCGTTGCCACATCCTCACGTCAAAGGACCGCTGCTTGGTGCTTCCACCTCCACAATGTGGACATCCTGGCCGGGGTGGAGGTCGGGTGCCGTGTGGGGCCTGGGCGACCTCTGACAGCCGCTGACCTCCTGCCTCTTCTCCAGCGAGACGAGGAAGCGCTGCGAGAGGAAGCCGTCCCGTGGCGAGCACGTGCCGAGCTGCGGGGGGTCTGTGAGGCAGAGAGAGCGCACACGCGGGAAGCAACCCACTTAAGCACGTGGGCTGGTGAAATGGAGAGATGCTCAAATTCTGGGAGGCTCAACCTAGACACATGGTTCGCTGGTAGCCCCTCCCCTCCATCAACCCCACCCACTCGGTCGCTAGCCCCATTCACGAAGTGAAGCAGCATCCTCCTCCCCCTGTCTGATGCTGGCCTCACCTCCTCTTGCGCATAGACCCCGCCCACTCCAGTCAACCCTGACCAGGTAGCTCCACCCACTGCCCAAGTAGCTCCACCCACTACTCAGGTAGCTCCACCCACTACTCAGGGAGCCCAACCCACGAATGAGGAAGCCCCGCCCACTTTCCAGATTGCCTCGTCCACTGCTCGGGCAGCCCTGCCCACAGCTTGCCCACCGGCCTCATGAGTTGAATATGAACCATGGTATTTAGTAGCTTCTGCATGGATATTAAAAAAAACCATGATAGGCAAACAAAGAGGGAAATATATATATATTTTTTATGGGAGTGAGCTGCATAGGAGAACCTCACCCGCACTCAGCCGGATGTAGAAGTGGTTCGCCTGGTCGGCATGGCGATATGATGTGACTGCACCAAGATGTCTGACACTCCAGTCCAGCAAGGCCTTGCCCGAGCCGACAGGGCTGGGCTCAAACACGCGCACGCACGCCCCATGCACATGCACGCTCTCCGAGGCCTGTGCAACAACACAAAGCGGGCATTTAATGCATGCGGACGGTCAAACATACAACAGCGTCTCAACGACGGTGCGCATGCTGGAAAGCCCATTTTGACCGAGAAACCAAGTAGGCATATTCGGCTAAATTAAACGAGCAATCGTAACAGCAATTTTAACACGCTCCTGACGATTGGATGTTCGGATCAGAACTCGTATTAAACAATGCCACGAACCTTTAATAACCTGGCACGTTTGTTCACGTAACAAATGTATTAATTGGTCATGTTAGATGGAGGAGGGATTACGACATACATTTTTTTACTTTACTTACACAATCTGACCCAAAATCAATTACGAATCAATCATGACAGAAATCTTAGTAAGTAAAACAATGTTCTTGAAGTAAATGTGCAAGGTTGGTCAAACGTTCCATATCTACCGTTCACAAATGTAGACATTTCAATGAAAAGAATGGACATCGAAAGCAACTCTTACTTTGGTTTGTTATGTCTGTGTTTAAACAGCATTGCAATGTTGTGCTTTCGTTAGTGTAAAGTTACTACGGTATCGGCACGAGTAAAAATTACAGTTGCTATCGAAGAACACCATTGATTTTCAGTATCAGATTTGACTGTGGTGCACTTAAAAGTCCATGAGCTTTTTAATGAAATAAAAAAAACTAAAAAAATTTAATGAAAGGCCTCACGTGGACAATGCAGTCGAGGAGCCCGGTGAGGCCGTCCGTTTTGATTCGCCAAGCGGTGTCACCTGGCGACGCCAGGACGAGTGTCATTGGCCGGAGCGAGTCTCTGGCCCCACCCTCGGTGCTGATGTCAACCGTCACCTGAACGTTCATGGAGGACACAACAACAACAACAAGCCATCAGCACGACGGTTGCCAGCTGTGGTTTATTGGCAAGAAACACCACCGCCTAACACGTTGCCAATGGTTCGCCTGGCCGGCATGGCGATATGATGTGGCCGAGTCCCACAGCTCTCTCCGTTGCCATTCGTCTAATCAGTATTAAAGTGGATAGACCACAATGTAGGCCTATGCATTGCAAGGCAGAGTTGACCTCGACATACATCACTGTTTGCCACCAGTGTAATACACAGGGCTTGAACTTGGCTCACCTGGGATGGAGGCGCAAGTACACGAATCACTGCACCGCCACTCCCCAAACAAAGACAAAGGTCACCCGTATAGGTTCAAAGACTGGTGAGGCAAGTGCTGTTAGCGAGCACCTATGAAGGCCGGTATGTGACGCTGTTTACAAACCGTACCAGGTACTCATTCGAGGCCGAGCCAACCTAGGGGATGCCCAGAACAGGTTCAAATAATCGTCACTGGTGTTGTCCATGAGAGGGAAACGAACCTGGGTCGCTGGGATCGTAGCACAGAGTGCTAACCGCTACACTACCGCCGCTCCCCACACACACAGTCTCTGCGCTCGCAGCGTAAATACCACGTGAAACGCAGCTTTGCATCATCACCAAGTTGTTTACGTACGAGTCAACTCAAAGTATACCGTTGATTAATAACACTTTAGAGGTTAATTAAACCGCGCGTTTTCTTCCCAGGGGGTAGAGGCTGCAGGGCGCTCTCTGGCACGCCCGCTCACGCCCGTGCACACCCGCGTGCACCTGCACGGCGAGAAGGTCCCAGGTGAACACAGGAAGCACTGGCCCGGCCGTGAACCCGCGCACACATCCATCAATGCACGCGGCACACGCGCACGGCTGCTCGAGTACCTAGACGCTGCCGTGGCGTATCGGTCAGCGCGAACTCTGGACAGAGGTCACAGGAGGTTTGAACTCTCGGCACGATGGTGGAATGAATGGGTACATTATTATTATTTTTTAAATCCTCCATGGCCTGTGTCTACCCCAGCAGCATAAACAGGTCGCAGCACAGTTAAGTCAATCGGCAGGTTGCGTGTGGTAGGGTAAAATGTGCGGACTCCCACCGCTTCCAAGACGTCTAGCCAGCGTGGAAGATGAGGCCAAATGCCCTCGAGTGGAGGCGCACTTCTGCTGGCAGTGGTGTGATCAACCAATTTCAGGCCTTTTTTGTTCATATCGTCACATTGTCAGAATAGATTATATGTGTAGTTGACTGGGAATGTCACTGTGTGGTGCCGGGCTTGTGAGGCCACGGCGGAATGTCTACTATTGTGTGTACACCCCGGACACGGGGTGTAGTACCAGCCCTAGTGGGAGCTTGGGTGAGCGCTGGTTAAGTGCGATGGCCATGCACAGCGTGCAGTGCGGGCTCCCGTTGAGAGAGCGAGAGAGTGTCAGCCAGCTGGGGTTATGTTGGGGGCATGATACTCTGGCTGACCTGGGGACACGTGATTGGATAATACTGGAGGGGGACCACCGGCTAAGGGGGCCAATGGTTGGTCACGTGGTCCGGGAAGAACTCTCGAGAGCCTTCGGGCAAGGCGGCGAGAGAGATCGAGAAGGTGGGCGGGGCGAGAGGCGGAGCCAGCCCCAGCCCGGCCCGATATAAGGGGGGGGGCCCTGTGAGGGGCTCGGGGTTCTTTCTGTTGGAGAGGCAGGAGATCCACGTCAAGCTTGAAGAAGCCTCCAGCCACACGGTCCGGGACCCAGCTTGTGGTCCGGACTGGGATAGTGGAACCGTGTCTAGTTCTGCCGTAGCGTGGTTAGTTGGGTGGTCACCACCCGAGAGTGTTGTGTTAATAGCCTGGAGTATGTTGTGTTAATAGCCTGGAGTATGTTGTGCAAATAGTTGAATAAAACGTGTTGTTCCCAAGACAACGTCTGCGACTCAGTTGGACTCACTACATATGTAAATTAACTTCTGGTTCAAGAGACTATATAGGCAAATTAGTGTCTCTCACCTCTGTCCTGTCGGCATCTCGCATTTCACTCCATCTCTATTGGTCTACGTTTCTCTTATTTCGATACACATCTATCTCTTATATCTCTTCTTGCATCTCACGACGAGCGGATATATTAAATGGGCCCCCGTTTAGCCTGAACAGACTGTTGGGGTGGGTGGCCAGTACCACGCCTGGCCACTTTTGTCTTTCCAGTGGCGATGTTCACACAATCGCACAAGGTACTCATTTGAGGCCGAGTCAACCTAAGGGAGACCCAGGACTGATTCAGAAAATTGTCACTGGTGTTGGCCATGAGCAGGAATCAAACTGGGGTCGCCGGGTTTGTAGCACAGCACGATAACCGCTGCACTACTGTTCACACACGTTTACAAGCATGCACAATCACTCTCAAACCCACATTCACATTCGCACCTACACACATGCATCCACACTCACACCCACAAGCGCACACCGACACCCACAATGTTGGCCAAGAGCAGAAATCGAACTCTGATCGGCAGGTTTCGTAGCACAGCACGCGAACCACCACACTACATCTCCCCCACGCAACAAAATAACAACAACCGTCATTCGCAACCAAATGGCGGTCACATCATCATGGCAATTGTGCCAGGCTAAGTGCACTTTAAGGCCACGTGAAGTACTGAATGCCTGCTGGCAGGGGGTCACGGGACAGACCCAGGTGCCATGCGTTGACTGATGCACCCAGACACACGCACACACACGCAACGAATGCCCACCTCTCCGTCTGCCGGGGCGCTCTCAAGGCTCATGACGTGCACGCTGCGTGTGCCCGGCGTGTCCCACGCCGCCCGCATCTTCGGCGAGGAGTGGGAGCCCGCGGAGTCCCCGGCTTCGCAGCCCGACGAGATGAGGAACTCCTCCATGGAGGCCGACACCGGGTGGCCCTGGAACCCCGGCGGTGAAGTGACGCACGGCGCCGCTTCTACAAAGACAAAGACAGCCTGAACAGACTGTTGGGGCAAGTGCTGTTAGCGAGCACTTATGAAGGCCGGCATGGCACACGAGGGGGTGGGTGGTCAGCGCCACGCCTGGCTGCCTTTGTCTCCCCAGTGGTAATGTTTACATGACCAAGCCTCACTTGAGGCCGAGTCGACCATGTACACAAGAACACAACGGCATATGCAACTTCACACACGTGTGTTGTACCAAGTCACACTCGGGCATCCATACCGTCACAGGATTTTATAAACCGGCGCAAGAGACACGAAAACATCCGAACGTGCCGTGGCACTAATCAAATCTAATTTATCCTACGGTAAAGTTAAACTCGTGCATGCTAGGAATTACGTTGGGAGAGAGAAAGGAGGAACACGTGGATGAGAGAACATACGCAGGTGAAGGACATCATTTGAACACCGTTAAGCAAAGCAGGTGGGGCGTGGGCAGGGAAGCGCCACGGCTCCAAGGGACGACGGTCAAGAATAAAGACGGAGTGGTAGCCAAGGAATGGACTGCTGTCCAAGGGACATCCACCGGGGAGACGGAGCGGTGAAATGGACTCGTATGCCGGGTGCCAATCGGATCGTCGTGTTGCAGAATCGCGAGAGGTGGTGGCGGCTTGGGGAGGTCTTCATCCAGCAGTGGATTGACCACGGCTTATGACGATGAAGATGATGTGGACGTGTGGCACTTTCGAAAGATAATAAAGAAGTGCCTACTCCGTTGCGTTTTGACAACAGTCTCCAGGAATTTACCGACTTAACATTTACTTTTGCCGACAAATATTCTAAAACGCGTGATGTTGATTCTAAAGGAGGGAAAAACCGCAGGACCCAGAGAAAAATCCACAAGACCACGGGGAGAGAACATGCAAACTCCAAATATACATCAGGCGTCAGGGGTCGGGATCACACCCATGACATCCTGTATACCAGGCGAGGAAGTTAACATCCCACCACCGAACGCCCCCCCCCCCGTGCGCACACGCGTGGATCAAGATGAAGTTGACTCCGTGTTGTCCTGCAAAGGGGCCCTCCCCCACAGTTGCGGAGGCCTTTGCTGGGGGAGGTCGCTGCTGTCCCATCTGGCCTCCGATGCCTTTGCAATAACAAACAACGCGCCGCCCCCCCCACCCCAGTAAGCCCACCACCGCCGCCGCCAAGCCAGCTGGCCAGGCCCTCCAGAGAGAACGCTCAGATCGAAACAAACACGGCGCTTGCGCTCGCCCGGTCACTCCGCGTCGCCGGCGACCTCCTGTGCAATTAGTCCTGGCATTGTTTTGCGTGACCTTCACGGCATCCTCCTCCTGCCTAATGCCTTTCTTCAAAACGTGTTCCGTGACGATGTCCATCCTCTTGCCGCTGGCTTCTTCCTCCTCTGTCAATCTGCTGTTGTCGTTTGTCTGTGCCGACAGCCTTCACTGTCGGCCGAGTGGAGAGCCCACGGACAGCGCGCGGGCTTGCGAGTGCCGGCAACTGGGGAAGGGTTCTACCGGTGTGCGTTCAGGTCATACCGCGTGCCATTTGTTCGGCACCGTCTCTGTTGTCAGTACCCTGAGAAGTATATTCGGTCACGAGGTTGTTGTTTTTTTTTATATAGAAGCAGCGAAACGCAAATTGCATAAATCGCTTGGGTTTTCTGGTTTGGAAGTAACTTTGCTTCTTTTTGTCGTACGACTGCCGATGTATATGCAGAGCAACAACTACAATTTAATAACAAGGTGGTCAAGCCAGATAACCGCAGCAGTAGCAGCGGAGTGTATCGCCACGACGTCCCCTTCATATTTGTGGATCGCACATTTGCGTCGTACGGTCTGTTCTGGATGACCACAGGTCGCACAGAACTCGAGGGGTTTTAATTTTCCATGTGTGCATCAGGTATCCGCATCTGTCATGGTTTGTGGGGATGGTGTTTCGGGTGGACCACGAGCTTCGTGGAAGATCAAACTCGAGATCTTCTGTGTTGGGTCTTTCACAAGAAGTAACTTTACTTCCCGGGGTGGAGCGGCAGCAAAGTGATGGGGGCGCTGCGCTATGAACCCCTGGGACACGAGTTAAATTCCTGGCCACGGCTATCGATGTGAGCTCGCGAGCTGACATCCACCTGCACTCACCAACGTGGTGAAGAATGGTCAAACAACCACCATGAGCAGGGGTCGGCCACCAAACTAACAAGAATCCGTAACAATTTAAAAAACCCCTCAAATATTTCAAGAACCCGCAATGCATGCGAATACGAGACGGTGAGTTCGAAGCAGTCCTTAAGAGAATCGCGTGCAGTTCTGGGGCCACAGGTTTCAGACCCCTGCCCGTGACTGACACGGCATGGGAAGGCTTTCACGAGCGGCAGTAGTTTGACAAAGGGCTGCGGTATTTTGTTATAACTTGCGAATTGGACTCGACGACGTATTATACATTTATTATCATAGTGGATTAGATTGATTTAACCTTGGAAATACGTGCGCTAGGCCTGTTGACTTTGTATTGTGATCTATTAGGCATTGGGCTCTGCGGCTGTCCCCGCGTTAACCCAAGCTGCTGACACCATCACTTCCCCCTTTTGTTTTTGGGATTTTTTTGTCAATTATATAATTTTTTTATTCATGTAAACGTGACAAATGATCAACCGTCACGTGCCAAATATCAGCATTACGATTACACAGGAGAAGCTGAGTAATGTGGGACTAGCATTATCTGCTTTTAGTTATCGGAACACTGTAAACATTACAGATTCAAGCGGGAGAGACCGAGTGTCGAAACCGGTCTAGAGTTTTTGCTCGTATTGAATCAATGCTGCTGAAATGATGCCCTCCCAGAAACTTGTGTGGCAGATGGGCTGCGTATGGTTTACGTAAAGAGCCCGATTTGCTGGCTTATTTTGACTCCAGTCAAGGATTATTCCCCAAATCACAGCCACTGCAAAAAGAGCGCGGCTTTATTCCCAGTGCATTTCACTGCCGTGGAAACGCTCATGGTGGTGCATGCTGGGAAGTAAACATTCAAATTTAATATAATTTTGGGAAATTTGTATGCAATAAAAAAAAGTGTTGTTTTACAATCCTGTACTTCTACGAGCAAAAAAAGCTCCGTTTTTATTTACCGACTAAATATTCCAGCTGCGCCACCGGAGTCTCGTCACGGCACAAAGGGGTTCAATTTCAGAACTCTCCACTGTGAGCAGTGGGGAAGTGTAGAAGAGAAAACAAATCACAGTTTTGCTGAATACAGGCCAATATGCCCAAAATTCCAAGCAGCCAGCAACAAACAGAACTACAAAAAGTGTAAGAGATAACGGAGATAACTGGTTTCTTTCATTAAGCTCAGTTATAAGAACTTTGGAATAGGGATGACGGGAGCGAATTCCAAAGTCAAGCAGTGTGAGGAATAAAAGCAGATGGAGAAGTGTTGTGACCTGCAGTGTGGCGAGTGCGTGGGTGATGTTGTGACTTGCAGTGCGGCGAGTGCGTGGGTGATGTTGTGACCTGCAGTGCGGCGAGTGAGTGAGAGTGGTGAGCTGCACGCTAGCGTGGTGGTTGAACACAGCATGAATCAATCAGTGAAGTTCAGGGGCATGATAACCATGGTTGTAGTGATAGTCGAACGATAAGGAGGCAATTGACCGCCAGCGATCGAGTAACTAGAGTAAATCAGTAAGTGCCGGATCACAAAAGGTGATGTCACGAAATCTCTGAAGGTCACCTCAAGGGACCTCTTCACTACACTAGGGACATCACCTCTTCACACGCCTTGCTAAGCGTCTGTTTCACGGAAAAATAATAATTTTAAAATTGTAATCGTTAGCAGTATGCTGGATCAAGTGACAAACCAAAATGTAACGTGACGATTTTTTGGTACAGCCATAGGGCAACCGGGCTGAAGTCATCGGCTCGCCAGACGCAATATCTCGTTGAACCATATGGGTGGCCGAAGTCTGGCCCTTGAACCCAAGGGAGCTCTGCGACGCTTACCAAGCGTCTCCGCAAATCTTACAATCTCGCCCGAGCAACACGGGCCCCCTGGAAATGGGAGCAATCTGAAGGCATCGCACCGCCCAGTGAAAACCTGCTGATGTTTGCACACAGTCTTACAATAGCCAAACTGGCCGCGTGCATGCATGCACGTGCGTTTTTGATTGGTCTCGCACAGCTCGGCCAAGAACAGCGCCTTATCCGAACCCACCGTTATCTCGACGTTCTGATGGAAGCGGCGTCTTCCCAACGTAAATAAACCGATTTAAAAATAATACACAAAAAAACACGCACGGTGGAATTTTACAAGTTTCGTAAGCGCTCTCCAGACTTCCGAGACCTCAAACTAACATCCACTATCACTCTGCACAACATACTCACCGGTGGCTCATCCTATGCACTGCCATAGGAATGTGGAATTTCCACCATGCTTCTGAGCCACTTAAGGAAGTATAGCAACCCTCCCCCACCCACCACAATGCTCACCTCTGCGGGACGATTCGGACTTTTTCCAGACAAAACCCTTTCCTTTTCGAAGCAGGGTTTCATGGCCAATACCACGATGACATGTACTTTTTGAAAAAACTCTCAACACATTTATCAATAACACTGTGGCCTTAAAAAAAAGATACAATGCGTGATGTTTCGGGCAATGCTATTGCACAATGCAGCAGCAGCAGCACCACCAATTTATTTGTTTTGATATTTTTTTTTTTTGGGGGGGGGGGGGGGATTGGCCACACGTGGTAATTTTTCTGCCAAAAACTCTTGACATGAATCCCTCCGCCACCCGACAAGATTGTCACATTTACAAAAGAGATTGTTTACAGGTGGCCAATGCAGTGATAAAAATTATGAAAAAGTTCAAAGTGGCTTTGGGGTTTTATATCTTTAAAAATATATAATTATGGATAAAAAAAAATCTCTGTAGAGGCCGTAAGAATCAAAACCACACGTTTGGGCAGGCACCAGTGACATAGACTCAGGCATTAACACGAATCACGAGCGTGAG